GTGGATTTCTTTTCTGCCCCTCGATTCTTTACATGACTGGCTCTTCCTTATCATTCTGGTCTTATTTCAGACCCTCCTCCCTGACCACCTGTTCTAAATTAGCCTCTCATCGATTTTTCTTTTTCTTCATAGCTCTTATTACTATCTGAGAATTATCATGTGCAGTTATTTGTTGACTTATATGTGTGTCCTCCTGACACACACACTAAAATGTAATGTCCATGAGAAGAGCCAGGGATTTTGTCTTTTCACCCTTATATTTCCAGTACCTAGACCAAGGGTTCTCACATTTGAATGTGCATTACAATCACAGATAACTGGACCTCAACTCCAGAATTTCTCATTCAGAAGGTCTGGAGTGGGCCTGGAAATTTGCATATCTAACAAGTTCCAGGTGATTCTGAGGCTGCTGGTCCATGGGCCAGACTTTGAGAACCACCAGTCTGCACAGTGCCTGGTACACGGTGGGTGTTGTTTATACATTTATTACATGAATACACAAGTCTGCACAGAAGAATCTGCTACTTTCTTTGGAATGGCAGTTTTATTTTGAGTTTATCATTTATTTATATTTATTGGGCTATAAACCTCCAATTCTCTGTGACAGGAGGGCTCCAAGTTCTGTCAGCTAAAATGATGTATTAGCTCCATTCATTTGTCAGCAGATGATTAGAAACCTAAAGTGTTACAGGCCCAGGGGAACCAGTGAGAGCATTCATCGTTCTTTGCCTTAGTAACACCTCAAAGCCAAAGGTGGCAGGATTCTCGCTTGACATGTGACAGAGTACTTTCCCTGTGGGTAAGTACTCAGGCCTCCCCTGTATTTGTTTAACAACTATCCTGTTGACTTGGCTTAGGCCTTGGTGCATTGGAATATATACAACACATACACACATGCACACGCACACACATTTTTATATTGAATTTCAGGAAGTTGCAAGTTGCCTCAGTCTGTTTTAATCTAAAATTTAAAAACTCCTTATCTAATCATTTGGTTTTTTCTTTGGCAAACCAAGGCCACTTTGGTTCTTCATTTGTTAAATTCCTGATGAATAAAAGTTTATTAAATGTAATCAGACAAACCTTAGAGGACAACATTAGAGAAAAGCACTAGAGGAAATCAGTAGGTAATAAGGTTTCCCATCTTAGGTTGGAGAATGCTTTTTGAAGCATATTTTGAAACCCAGAAACAAAAATAGAGTAGTTAGATTGATTCCATAAAACTTAAAATGATCTTTACAAGAAAGAGGAAAATAAGATCCTTCTAGTCTAAATTCCGGGGAGAAATCTGTGCATCCTATGTTTTCCATCTGTATTTTTTCCACTTGAATTGTCTGGAGGACCTATAGCCAAGCTCAGTGGGAGGAGACATAAGCTTATCAGAGCAGATGGGGTAAGACTACATCCTTCAACAAAGCCATTTTGTCACTTTGTTAATTATTTCATTAGCCATGGTTGGGGTTTTTTTTTTTTTTTTTGAGAGAGAGATTTTATTGAGATATTCACGTATCATGCAGTTCATCCATTTAAAGTGTGCAGTTAAGTGGTTTTAGCATGTTCCCAAAGTGGTGCAACCATCTCCACTGTCTAATTTAGAACACTTTTGTCATCGCCCAAAGAAATCCTCATACCCATTAGCAGTCATTCGTCATCCTCTCCCCGCCTCCCACCAGGCCTACACACTACTAGTCTACTTTCTGTCTCTATAGATTTTCCTATTCTGGCCATTTCATATAAGTGGGATCATATAGTATGGGTTTCTTTTCCTTAAAAAGAATAACGTCTTCAAGGCTTATCCTTATTGTAGCTTGATTCATATTTATCTGAATGTTCTTCCTTTTTATTGCTGAGTATTTCATGTGTATGGATATATCCCATTTTATTCGTTCATCAATTAAAGGGTATTTGGCTTGTTTCCTCTGTTTAGATATCATGAGTAATGGTTCTGTGAATGTGTGGGGTCCAGATTTTCATGTGAACATGTTTTTATTTCTCTTGAGTCTAGCAATGGTTTTTCTCTTATTAAAGATTTACCCAAAACATTTTACTTAACTTACATAATTCTTTTGGTTTTAGTTTTATTCTATCATGATCACTTGGGGAAGCAAGAAGGCTTGTATCCTAAGGACTTCAGAACTTCTCTGCCCTGAGTTTGGGCCCTCCTTGCTTCTGTGTAATTGGGGATGTGACTTCATCTCACTGAGCCTCACTTGTGAGAAAGCCAGCTCTCTGATCCTCTCAGGGATACTGTGAGGATTAATGACATAAACCCAGTAGGATCTGCTCTTGAGAAGATACTATCCCACAGGAGTAGGTTCCTGTGCATCAGGGAAACAAGATACCCTCAGGCCAGGCAGGGGCTCCCAGCACCATAGGTGACGGCCTCAGCCAAGAGGCCAGTGGGTGAATGCAGAGGCATAGATGGTATAAAAAATACTGTTTACTTGAGATTTGGGTTTCCTGTGCAATCTGAATTTGGTTGCATTCTAAATCCTTCAGACCACCCTCTGCAGGAGGCCCTGGCCTGGTCACCCTGTTCAGAGGGCAGAAGAAAGGTCAGGGCCATGCTCAGTGATGGGCATCCAGGTGAGCAAAGAAATTCTAAAGCCCACCCTCCAGCTAATGTTTTCCCAAAGACCACTCTAATCAAAGACCTCATTTAATCAAAAAGCACATTGCTTTCTGTGGAGTCCCAGAGGTACCTCCTTTTGTAAAATTCCTGTACACTTGACCTTCTTGTTGGCTCTAGGGTTGGGGTATGACCCCCCACCCCTGGATACAGTCTGATAAAGACCCCCGTACCCCCTCCCCTCGGTAGAGGCACTGGGAGCCCAGGTGGCAAGAGAAGAGGCTAAAATATTTGAGCTCCCTCATGGTCTCTGGCTAATCGCCTATATCCTTCACTCTTTAAAATCAGGCAGCAGAAAGTGTTATTGATAAACAGGGAATTGATGAGTTTAATAGGAAAGAAGATGGCAGGTTTGCTTGGGTTCTAACTCCCAGGCCACAACTTACTAGCTGTCTGATCTAGGACAAGTGATGAAGTTCTCTGAGACTAAGGTAAATGTTGGGATAGTAGTGGTATTTACTTCACAGGGTCACTGTGGGGGAGTTGCTGAGATGATGCCCATAGGGCCTTTAGTCTATATTCAGAGCTCTGTCAATGTTTGTCATAGTTATTATATTACTTGCAAAATAAGAATTAAGGATCTCAAGTAATATAGCCATCCTCTCTAAGCTATCTAATGGGCAAAGTGACAAAGTGAAAGTCACTCAGTCTTGTCCAACTCTGCAACCCAATGGACTATACAGTCCATGGAATTCTCCAGGCCAGAATACTGGAGTGGGTAGCCTTTCTCTTCTCCAGGGGATCTTCCCAACCCAGGGATCGAACCTAGGTCTCCCACTCTGCAGGTGGATTCTTTACCAACTGAGCCACCAGGGAAGCCCCTGCAAGATATTTAGGGAAGCTGTTTTTGTTTTTTATTTATTTTTACTAATTGGAAGCACCTAATATGTGTTAGACACAGCAGGTAGGGCTGGGGATGAAACTTAATTTTCCCCAGGAATATAGAATTCAAGTTGGGAGAGAAACTAAGATACATGCAGCTCTTAAAGAGCAAGTAAACAGTGACAGAATGCTGAGAGTCAGCACTGCCCTGGCTCAGAGAGGAGAGGAGCAGAGAAGGTTGGATGGGCCAGACAAGGTGTCAGAGGGAAGGCCGTGCAGAGGCCAGCCTTTGAAAGGCAAGATGAGTTCCCATCAGCAGAGCAGAGGGAGGCAGAAGTGGACAAGGGTAGGTGGGGGGAAGGGGAGACCCATGTGAGCACAGCCAGGTTGGGGGTCCCGTCGGTCTGGGCATGGTGGGTGGTCTGGGGACTGAGCCAGAGACAAGACTTCTGATGTCTTTCCCACTCTCAGGAGTTTGTAGGGATGGTATACCATGGGATCTTTTAGTCACCTGTTCTACTAATTATCCTTTCTATGAGGCTTTCTGTCACTTACATGTTTTTGTGGACTCTTAAGAGGGAGGAAAGAGGAGGGGCTATGTTGGAGGAGTTTTGACTCTTACTCTGGATGGTCACCATAAAAGCAGTACAAAGTGGTAACTGTTGACCCTAGCCATCCTGCATCCAGACCCCTTCTTGTCTTTGGGGACCAGCCTTTGTTGCTTTCAGGTCATTTGGTTTGGGGTGGCGATGACTATACTCCTGTGGCATGGCTAGACACAGTTCCCACATTGGTTCAGTGAAATGAGATCCCAGCTAGAACTCTTGGGAAAGGACAGCACCCATTCTTGTAGGGCAGCTGTACCAGTGGCTGCTGGCGGCCATCCTCTACCATGATGGATGGGTCTTGCTGGAAATGGAATGATCCAAGGATGCAAAGCACGAAATGGAGAGAGACAGATTCAGGTCCCATTGTCTGAACACCTGGATCCCACCAAAGCAAAACCCTGGCTGTTTCAGTTACATGAGGAAAACATTTCCACCCCCTCTCTTTCTTTTTTTGTGTAAGTCTCTTTAAATTGGATTTCAGCCCATTGTCACTCAAAGAATCTTGATTTATTCAAGGGTTTATCTTGTTCCCACCAGCATTTTGTTGGCTTACCCTTACCATAGATATTCATAGTCAAGAACTGTGTCAAGGAAGAACAGTATATGCATGCGAGAGATGGAGACATCTCTGTACCTCCAAACAGGCCCAGGTACATGTCACGTGCTTGGGAGGCAGAGACATTAGGAAGAGAACACAAGACTCTGAAAAAAATGTCTTTCTTCTTCTTCCCTTGACTCTGCTTACAGAGCAGTTCTCCCCCAAACCCCTGCCTTTTTTCCAAAGAAAAGAATTTTTGCAGGGTTCCAAGATGTCAGGAAATAGGAGGAGGTGAGGGGAAGGGAAACTCTGCAGATGCTGTTCGATCTCATTTGCATTCTTCCCTTTTGCCCAATTACAAGGAATCAGCTGGCATCTTTTTTTTTTTTTTTCCTTTTTTGTTGCGGGGTTTTTTTTAAAAACAACAACAACAACAAGCAAACAACTAAGCATTAACATTACCGTAATGGCATTTGTTAATGATTTTCTGGGAAATATCTTCTTGAATCTCAGCAAAGATAATTCACTTGGTAACAGCCCTTTCCTGCTTCCCTGCTAAGAATTCAACTCACCCAGTTCTTTCCGGAATCTAGCTAGTGTCTGAATGAGAGAGGGGAGTACAAGGAATGTTTCAGTCAAGCATCCATCACATAGACTCAAGCCTGCCACCAACTGAGGTCAGGGAGAAGAGGGTGGTGGAGAGCATTCAAGCAGAGCAAAAGCCTAAAGTCAAGCAGAAAGTCCACAGTAACCTGAGCCCCTTGGAGAAACAAATGTACTCACCTCTGCTTTGGCTCTGGGGCGCTTTCTTTCTGGGGTGCTAGCAGCTGCGGCAGCCTACGGCATCCACACTGTCCTAGCAGGACTGCGGCAGGCAGGCCTCAGTGGGAGGAAGGGAGTTCCCATCCTCCATCAGAAGGGAGTGGCCTTCACCAAAGGAGGCGATGCCCTTATTCCCCTAGGGTCCAGACGATCGGATCTGCTTGTCGTCCCCTGCTCCCTCTCTGATGTGTATGGAGCTCAGGGGAGCCCCCAGAGGAGGGCTACGTGCAGACCACACACCACACTCGCCCTGCTCCAGTTTGTTTCCCCAGCCTTGGGGAGCCTGGGGAGGGAGGCAGCGGAGTGTGTCGTGAAGCCACTCTCTTGGGGCCCCTACTAGAGCAGCTAGTGGACCCACAGAAAGCCCAAGGACGAATACTTGTGTATTTATTTCTCCCCTTCTCATGTGATCTTATTTTTGGACCAAACACAAAAGCTATTTGGGGGCTGGACAGCTGCCAGGTGAAAGGACAGTTATCTCATCCAACTTGTCTCGATGCCTCTCTCTGAACTGTCCCTGTTACCTTTCCCCATGTAAGGCAGAAGGGGAAGTTGGGGCTTGCTCTGAACCTTACTTTTAATATATCTGAGCAATTAGTCTAAATTGCTAACTTTATTTCAGCCAGTTCATCCCCACCCTTTAAGGTTGCACAGAGGATCTATCCAATGAACAAAGTCACTGTTTCTATGTCTGAGGCTACACGTATAGCCATCATCTACACAGTACTGTAGACGGAGACCCTGTTAGCAGCACTGGGTGGGACCTCAGCCCTGGAAGGCACTTGTGAGTGATGTGGAGGAGCAAGACTGTAACTCTGAATCTCTGATTCTGCCTGTTTCCTTTGGCTGCTTCTGCTTCTAACTCCTGGATTTGTAAAACTTACAATATGTAAATAGCTTGCTTTTTTCACTTCTGATTCTTCCTCTTCAGACCTGAATGGGAAGCTCTGAAACGCTTATGCCTGACAAAATGCCAATTCCATATCATTGTCTTCGTCATCACCACAGTTATTTCTTGAGCCCTTGCAAAATGCCGTTCCCATGCTGAGCTTTTTTCACATTGTCTCATTTATTCTCACAACAGCTCTGTGGAGAAGGTAATCCTGTTCCCATCTGACAGCCAGAGAAGCAGAGGCCAGGAAGGTGAGCTTGCCAAGAAGAGAGATCCCAGCCCCATCGGCCGACTCCAGAGCAGGAGTTTTCAGTCACTTTGCTCCCTGCCTCCTGAATCTATAAACATTGAAATTTCACTGTTGTTTTCATCTCATAAGAATAACAAAAACCCACATTTGATTCAGATCCATGACTTCACTCCTCAATTTCTTTTCTCAAACTCAGTTCTTGAAGTGGAGAAAGAATAAAGTTTACAGTCCCAGGCCCTGATTCGAGGTGTGGGATGGAGTCTCGGGCCTCCATTCTCTGTGGAGCCAGTTTCCTATGAATAATTCACTGTGCAAACACAAGACACCAGAAAGGACTGGGCTTGACTGCCCAAGCTGTGGTCCCCACTGCATCCAAGGTGAATTGCCCTTTCTTTCCGTTATCTTGAGAGCCAGGGAGATAGAGCCAAGCAGGTTGTACAATACTGCCCTCTGCTGGCCACTGGTATGAATTACCCCCCGGGATGGTGGTCTTCAAGACTTTCCAATGGGCACACCCAGGAATATTTCTAGAGAACCAGTTTCCAGGTTCTCAGATTTTATAAGGTATCTTTTCCTAAGACTGGTTAGCCTGAGGACAATGTCTGTGTTCATAATAATCCTATCCTTACTGGAAAGCATACCCCTCACTTTTCACAAATCTTAACTCAGGAGCCATAGCCCCAAATGTGAAAATTTCCAGGTCCAAGTTCCCAGACAGAAATGTTCCTTTAATAATTTAACTCAACTTCCTTCAATAACTAATTAAGGCAATTATAAATTTCACAGATTTTTCTTTTCCACCCCTTGAATTTGAAGGAGAGTACTGTGAAAGTTGTAGAGGATATTAGAAATAATAACAATAGGTTAATAGGTACATTTAAAGAATTATATCACAGTTTAATTTTTTAAATTCAATATTTATAATATGCTGGAAGTTATTATCTTAATTCCCTGTGAACTTGGTGGTGACCATTTAACATCAATTTTTAAATGTGAGTATAGGTAACATAATTTTTCATAATTGCTTTAGAAGCACAGGGGCAAAAATGGGTGAAGACTGTTGTAGCCTAGGGTGACCCTTGTTGAGTGATAATTTGCTCTTATCCACCCACCCATCCATCCATCCATCTATCTTACCACCCATCCATCCAGTACCCATTGAGCATCTACTATGTGTCAGGCATTGTTTTAAGCACTAGATATAAAAATGGTGAATATGAACTGACATGTGATATGCCAACTTCTTACTTATGAGTCCCTCTAGGGAGTTGAGTGAAGGGAAACAGATTAATTTAGTAATTTCTCAAATAAATGTAAGGATTCACCTTTGATAAGTACTTCCAAGGAAGGGTATTCAGTGATGAGACAATGTATAATGAGGATTATATGTATATAATGTATATACATATATAAACACTAATATATATATTAATGTATACATTAATGTATTAATGTATTTAACATATATATGTACATAATGTATATAATGTCAATGTATAATGACACTATATAATGAAGATTGACCTAACTCATGGTGAAGATGTCAGGAATAAGATCTGAACTCAGAAAAAGGTATTCAGCAATCTATATGAAAATCCAGGAAGAAAGGGCATTTTAATGAGGCAGGATTGGCAAGAAGTAGGATCAACCTTTGCTGAGTCAGTTGTTTTTAGAAAGGGCATTTACTCTTATACAAAACAGTCCATATTGAAAATCAGTGGAAGCAAATTTTCCCCAGGGACTATTTGGCAATTTTTGGAGACATTTTTGCTTGCTACAACTGGGTTGTGCTCCTGGCATCTAGTGGGTAGAGGCAAGGATGCTGCTAAACATGCTACAATGTTCAGGATAGCACCCGACAACAAAGTGTCCAGGCTGGCCCTAAAGTCAGTGATGGTGATGTTGAGAGGGCAGGGAAGGCCCAGTAAGTGTCTACCGTGGATGTGGTTTCATCCATTCATTCATTCAACAGGTGCTCACTGGGTACCCACTATGTTTGAGACACTCTTCTGGGCATAATCAAGGCATACCAGGCACTCCCTAACCAAAACTGTCCCCTCTAATGGCCTGTCTGATTGTGTTCCTCTTACCCAGCCTAAACTTTTCACTATTAAAATGGTGGGCAAAACTGGTCTGGCTGCCTGTAGAAAAAAAGACAAAAATCTATGGATATTATTCACAATCTGGTCACTGCAATCAGCTAGTGGTGAAAACAAACTATATGTCTGTCAACAGGGAAATAGCTTCATAATTTGGTACATGCATACAGTGGAATACTGGGCAGCCAAAAAAAAAGAAAAGAGGTAAATTTCTTTGAGATGACTCAGAAAATAACCATGAAGATATTAACTGGAAAATTTCTTCTAAATAGCAGATTGAATGTAGTTGATTTGATTTTTTAAAAAAATTGATTTATATGAGTGTTTGCTTGTGCATGCAACTGCTGGGAAAATTCTCACCAAATTTTTTAAATGTCCTTTTCGAGGAAGTGGGGGAAAATGTTTAACATGTTCATCGGGAAAAGTTCCCTACCTGATTCCCTCCTTTAACACCAGATTCCCGCCTTTAACACCAGTTAGATTCTCCCTACTTCATCCTCTCGGTTACTTTCAACTTCCAGCACAGTATCTATTCCGTACTGTTAATCCAAGGTCCTTCAGAGCTTGCTGCCAGACAGTCTTCATGGACCCTTCTTGGGAGCTGGTCTTCCTGCCCCGGCCCTGTTCCCACCCCACCTCCCCAGAGCTTAAGTCAGGTGACCTCACCAGGATTTATCAGACCACACTCATACAAGACAGGCTCACCTCTGTGCCTGTAAAACAGTCCTTTGCTCTTTCTACTTGTATCAGTCCAGATAGACCAGGTTACATGACATTTATAAATAATTTCCAAATTTCAGTGACTTAAAGTAACAAGGGCTTCCATGATGGCTCAGCGGGTAAAGAATCTGCTTGCGATACAGGAGACATAAGAGATGCTGGTTTGATCCCTGAGTCAGGAAGATTCCCTGTAGAAGGAAATGGCAACCCACTCCAGTATTCTTGCCTGGAAAACCCCATGGGCAGAGGAGTCTGGTGGGCTGCATACAGTCCATGGGGTCGCAAAGAGTTGGACACAACTGAGTGACTAAGCACACACATGAAGTAGCAAAGGTCTGGTTCTCACACATCAACATCAGCATGTCCATTTATAGGTTGGCCAGGCAGCTCTGCTCCATGTCATCCTCATGAAGGTCCAGACTGAAGGAACTCTAACCCTCCACTTATAGGAGGGAAAGGGGAGAGGTTTTTACTATTACAACTAGCACCTGGAAGTTACTCCTACTCACATTTCATTGGCCAAAATGAGTCACACCTAACATAAAATGAGGCCGAGAAGTTTAGCCCTATAATTTGCTTGGAAGGTCATGGATCATAAATACTTGGGGAACCTGTATTCCTCAAAATAAATACTTGGAGAATTCTATAATTGCTGTATAATACATAATATTGCACTAAATCAAGTTTACTAATCATGTTCAAATAATCTATATCCTTAATACTGACCTTCTTTATCTGGTCACTTGTGGTTTTTGTCAATCTTAACTACATATTTTTTGAAGCTACATCATAAACTGTATGATGTGCAAGTTTTATAATCAAGATTTATAATCACTATTTTCTTTATGAATTGAACTTTTTATTATTTGATATATTCTTCTTTAGCTGTAGTAATGCTTTTGGCCTGAAAATATGTTTTGTCTTACATTAATATGTACTATCAATATTAATATAATTTTGTTTAATATTTGTATTTTGTCCACCCTTTACTTTCAACATTTTTAAAAAAAATTTTTTTCAACATTTTAAAAACTAATATTTTAGATGTGTTTCTTATAAACAGTATATAGATTTTTAAAATCCAATTCAGTACTCTTTGGCTTATAATTGAAGTATTTTGTTCATTTATATTTAATGTAATTATTGATATATTTGGGTCCATATCTACATCTTGTTAAATGCTTTCATTTGTCCCACATGCTTTATATTCTTTTTATACTTCTTCCTTTTTTGCCTTTGGAGTGGTTAAATATTCTATTTTTTCACTCTGTTACCTTGCAAGTTATATTCTTTTTTACTGTTCTTTTTAAAAGTTATCATGGCAGTCACAATATTATCTTGGATTTATTAAAGTCTATGGCAACCCACTCCAGTACTCTTGCCTGGAAAATCCCATGGACAGAGGAACCTGGTGGGCTGCAGTCCATGGGGTCGCAAAGAGTCAGACACGACTGAGAGACTTCACTTTCACTTTTCACTTTCATGCATTGGAGAAGGAAATGGCAACCCACTCCAGTGTTCTTGCCTGGAGAATCCCAGGGGCAGCGGAGCCTGGTGGGCTGCCGTCTATGGGGTCGCACAGAGTCAGACACGACTGAAATGACTTAGCAGCAGCAGCAATGTTAATTAATGGGGCTTCCCAGGCTCAGTGGTAAAGAATTCTCCTACCAATGCAGGAGACAAGGGTTCATTCCTGGGGTCGGGATGACCTCCTGAGAAGGCAATGAATGGCAGCCCACTCAAGGATACTTCCCTGGGAAATCCCATGGACAGGGGAGCTTGGCGTGCTGTAGTCCATGGGGTTGTAAAAGAGTTGGATGTGGCTTAGTGACTAACCATCAACAATAACAATGTTAATTAACATTTCAGTCTTCTTGCATAGTAATACAAGGACTTTGGAACATTTTAGTCCCATTCGTCCCTCCCTCCTTACTATGTGTATTATATATTTTAACTTTTTAAATCCCCAATGTACATTGCCATGTTGTTTTGTAGAGTCTACTTCATTTGGGTTTCCTCAAATTAACCTTTGCATTGTTCTTCATTTCTTCCTGCACCTATATCTATCATATTAAGTCATTTTCCTTCTGCTTAAAGATGCTTTAGTATCTGCAACTATTAAAGAATCCTGGAAATGTCTTAACCTTTCTTATTAGAGGCTACTTTCACTGGGCATGGAATT